TGCAGGAGAACGTGGGTCTATGCTGAGTAAGCTGCTGAGGGTGTCTCCCCGCAACCGCCTGGCCTCCTTCTCTGCTCAGTTCCCTCCCCCTGCCTGGTCTGACCCTGCCCCCCCTGCCACCACCACGCACCTGCACTGTGTAGCCACCCAGACCACATCTCAAAAGCCCCAGGTATGCCAGGCCTTCAGCGCCCTCAGGCACCGGGCCTCCCAAGGACGCCTTTGGGAATTTCTTGATCCATTTCTTCACGTTATTAATGTCCCGTTGTTTGGTATAATGTTTTCTGTATGGTAGCATGCAAGTAACAGTTGATATTTCATGCATTTGTGTAGTGTCAAATGTCCTATATGTATGCCACACTGTGTACACCCGTATCATTGTTTCATTTTAAATTACAGTGTGAAAGAAGTTTCAAATGAAACATCCTGTTTATAATTTGTGTCGGGAGAGTTTGTAAATTCCTTTGATTTCTGTCGCTGATTCTCTATAACTTCCTCCTTCACAAGGTTGAGCAGTGGTGGATGGCGACCCCGAGCTGGTCGCCGAGGTCGTCCACCCTTCCACGCAGACTCCAGCGGCCGCGGTCCTCCACTCCGCCCACCTCGAGGAACTCCTCGACGCCTCCGCTCCTCCCCAATAACTTCCAGTACATGAGGGAGTCCTCCAACCCCATGGCGTCCTCGCTTCCCCTCTCCTTGGTCAGCACAACGCCCGCCCTTCTCTCCGAGGAGGAGCTGGTCCTGCACGCCTCGCCTGGCCACCGTCCGGCCCCGCACAGGTCCCCCATCCACCATCCCTCACCGCACTCCTCGCCAGGCCACCGCTCCTCGCACGGGTCCCCAGCCCACCGCTCCTCACACCATTCGTCCCACAGCTCGCCCAGCCACCGCCCGCAGCCCCAGGGCACTCCTGCTCATCACCAGCATATCCTAAAGGAGTTCGTGGAGGACCATCCACCTGGATTGTCGCCCTCAAGCAGGAATCCAGAGAGCAGGGCCAACCTGAAAAATCACAAGCACAGATCTCCCGCGCGTGCCGTCGGCGAGTGCAAGACGCCTCCAATCCCTGTGACGGACAATCGGCTGAGCTACAGGGACCTCGAGTCGTCACCGGGCAGATCGAGGAAGGACCAAGGCGCGAGGAAGGCTGCGCAGGACGGCGAATGGGCGAGGAAAGAGGCAAAGGAATCGGCAATCAAACAGTGCAAGGAAGGCCATAACAAGAAGTCTGGGGAAACGAAGGCAAGAAAGAGCGGGAAGGAACAGCAAGACCGCGCGGCCGACGGTGAGAGTAGTCACCAGGAGAAGAGGAGGCACCAGCATGGAAACAAGGGGAGGCACCAGAAGGAGTGCTTTCACTCGCAGGAGATGCAGCGCAAGAGACAGGAGAACATCCAGAATGAGGAAAACCAAGTGAGGCAAGTGGCAGCGGCGCTCAGAAAAGAGAACAGTGCCAATAGTATACGAGGGGAGGCCGAGGGGGAGGAGCCACAGCCTTCCACATCGCCGAATCAGAGAGAAAGCAAGTTCAATGCATCAGCCAGAGATGCTGATCTCAGCACTCCGAAACCAGATAAGAAGCCGGAGGCGGATGCGGAACGGGAGGGGGAGAAAAAGGACTGTGGGAGATACGACCGATCTGCACTGCAGCTGGACTTGCCTCACTCCCATATGAATAATTCGCGCAAGGTGAACGCATCGCCGCAGCGGCCAGAGGGACTGAAGAATAATGTTCTCCACCACAACAACAGCCTGGCCAACATCAGCAAAGGCTCGTGCAGTGATCTGACAGCGCGGAACTTGGGCTACACCGAAGTGGACAAGTGCCACAAAAAGCTATGCTCACAAACCCTCGACCAGCTCAGCCAGCACGCGCCGGCAGACAAGACGCCGGCCTCTTCGCCCGGCGAGACGCGTCCAGGGAAGCTCGACAACATCATCTCCACCGAAGGCAAGGAACCGGACCCGAAGGCGCGCGAGGACGACACCAACAAGACCAACAGCAGCAGCAGCCCCGACGCAGAGAACGTGTCGGTGAAGACGTACCCAAGTCTGTCTGAACTCAACTTCAACTTCGGTTCCCTGGCGGCGCAGAGGATCCTGTGCGGCGCGAGCGTGAACAGCCTGGACACCCTGGTGGAGGTGAACCTAGCGGCCGAGAAGCGCAAATTGCAGCGGAAACACAGCTCCCCCGCGACGCCCGTCACCAACACTGACCTAGGATTCGTCTAAGCAAATGCTCACTCGCTCTCTTTGTTTGTAAATAAATATATATATACAAGTGTAAGTTAAGATATGTAAAGTTTATGACTGACTGTTGTGAATATCTATGCTTGCTATTTAGGCACTAATTATTTTTTATCCAGTAACAGTACAAGCTAGACTAGTCGTGTAAATAACAGGTGCTCTTACTGGGAGCCACAGAGATACAAGATTGTTGCTCTCTAGCATGTGATCTCGTCAGGCAGAAACAGATTAATACATTTCCATCAACTAATGATCCTGCGTCTTATTTCTGCACCCTTACTTTATAGAAACAATTTTCAAATAAGTTTTCTAGAAAAATGGAAGTGATAAACACGAATTGAGGTATTAAAGAAGCACGTCTGAATTTTCAATTATAAAGTTAAGCCAAGTTTGCTTATCGTTGTAAAGTATAACAACGATATTATAAATAAGAATACATTGCAGAACTGACAAAAATACGATTGAAATAACTGGATAATAGTGCTGTATGACTTTAAATGTCTAGCACATTTATTTGTTCTATTTACCAATTACTGGTTAGGTAATCTTTTAGATATAATTGATTTTAGATAAGCTTTGATATTAGATACACGTATCACGAGAAAATCGTGATTAGTTAAATATTCCAGAGATATATCACGTCAGTATGCTTGGTTAATAGAAGGCGAACTATAAATAGAAAATGATCTTATAGAGAACGGATCCCAGCCTCGCCTTACTCTCTCTCACACCTTCAGCCAGTTCGCTCATCTCTGTATCCCCTTCTCGACTCCATCTATCCCCTATCTTCACCCCTGCCGCCCCTCCCCCTACACATACTTTTCTTCCCTCCCTCCCCATTTCTCTCTTCTCTAACTCGCTTTTCTTTCTCTCTTCTCCGTTTGTCCCATTCTCCTATTCACTATCTGTCTGTCTCTTTCTTTCTCTCCATCCCTCTCTCCGTCTGTCTCTAATCCCTCCATCTCTTCCTCCTCCCCCCTCTCTCTCTCTGTTCTCTCTCTCTCTCTCTCTCTCTCTCTCTCTCTCTCTCTCTCTCTCTCTCTCTCTCTCTCTCTCTTCTCTCTCTCTCTCTCTCTCTCTCTCTCTCTCTCGCTCTCTCTCTCTCTCGCATTCTTCTTCTCGCATCTCTCTCTCGCATTCTCTCTCTCTCGCATTCTCTCTCTCTCGCATTCCTCTCTCTCGCATTCTCTCTCTCTCGCATTCTCTCTCTCTCGCTCTCTCTCGCATTCTCTCTCTCTCGCATTCTCTCTCTTCTTCGTTTCTCTCTTCCCCTCTTCCTTCCCGCCTTCCCCCCCCAGAATAACCCCAGAGGCCTCTTGGTAATATAAGACCAGCAAACTGTTTCTAAAGCACGATTGATCCGGAGAACCAAATAACATGCAAACTGGCTAGACTAAACCAATGGGACCTGGACATACACCCACCATCCTAAATTATCATAGTAGTGATAATGGTGATGAAGATAATAACGGTGATGATAATATATTGTGATTATTTAATGTTACTATTGTTATCGTTGTTAATATTATTATTACTATTACTAGTAGTAGTAATATGTTTATCATTGTTACTATTACTACTAGTAGTAATATGTTACTATTATTATTATTATTGTTATTGTTATTATTATTACTATTACTATTATCAATATTATTGTTATATTATTACATTATATTATCAATATTTGCTATTATATTATTATTTATCATTGTTTTGTCATTGCCATTATCATTATTAATTTCATTATTGTCACTACTATTGTTGTTTTTGTTTTTACGATCGTTATCATTGTTATCATTTCTACCATTATCACTATAACTATGATTATTGTTGTTTTCGTTACTGTGATTATTATTATTATCATCATCATCATTATTATTATTATCATTCTCATCTGCATCATTATTTGTACTGTTATTCATATTTTTATTGTTATCATCATTATTATTATCATCATGATTATCACTATTATTATTATCATTATTATTATTATTATTATTATTATTATTATTATTATTATTATTGATAAGATGATGATTATGATGATAATGATAATGATGATGATTATTGATAGTATTATCAATATTATTATCATAATCATTGTTATTATTTTTTATTATTATCATCATTATCATTAACATTAATACTAATATCATTTGGATTATGATGATGATGGTAATGATTATTATTATTATTATTATAACAGCAACAACAAAGGGCAATGATAATTATAATAATAATTATTATGATATGATAATTATTGTAATAATGACGATGATAATGGTAATAACAATAACAATAATAGTAATGATACTGATGATAATAATAATAGTAACAGCAGTAATAATATTGAGAATGAGTATCTATTATCATGAAAATAATAAAAGTAATAATGGCAATGATAATAGTAATAAAACTAATGATAATGATGATAGTGATAACAATAATGATAATAACAAGAGCAAAAATGATTATGAAAACAATAACAATAACAATAATGAAAATAATGATGATAGAAACGATACTGATAATGATAATAGTAATAAGAATAATTTTAATGATAATGATATTGATGATGATAATAGTATTAATAATAATAATGATAATAACAATAATGATAACATTATTGATAGTGATAATAGTAATGATAATAATAATTATAAAGATACTGATAATAATTGTTATAATAATAAAAATGAATAACAGTGATAATTTTGATGATGGTAGCAACGGCAATGACAATGATAACAAATGATAAGAATAATGATTTTAAAAAGTTGTCATACTGATAAAGATAATAATGAGAGTCATAATAGTAATAGGAATGGTAATGGCAATGAAATAAAATTATATATCAGTAATATCAGTAATTATGATGATGATGAGGATAATGATGATAATGATAGGGATCATAATAACACTACTAATAATAATGATAACAATAACAATGATGGTGAGAAATGTAATGATAATAGCAGCAATAATAATAATAATAATAATAATAATAATAATAATAATAATAATAATAATAATAATAACAATAATAGTGGTAATAACAATAATGATAATAGTAATAATAGGAGAAATGATAATAATAGTGTTAGTGATAACAGTAGCGATAATGATAATGACAACAATGATGATGATGATGATTATCATAATAATGTTAATGATAATAGTAATAATGATGATAATGATAACGGTAACAACAATGCTGATAATAATAATGATTATAGAAGTAATTATAATGATAATCATATTGATAGTGATAATAATAAAGGTGATGATATTAATGATAATAATGAAAATGATGATAATAATAGTAATAATAATAATAATGGCCATAATAGTAATGATAAAGATAATAGTAATAATGATAATAATAATGATTATTATTATCGTTATGATGATAATGAAAAGAATGATAATGACAAGAACAATTATAACAGTGATAATGATAATGGTGTTACTAATGATGGAAACAACAACAACAACAATGATAATAAAAACAACAACAGCAATAATAATAATAACAATAATAATGATAATAATATTAATAATAATAATAATAATAATAATAATAATAATGGCAATGATAATGATAATGATAACATTAGTAATAATCACAATTATAATAAAGTTAATGATAGCAACAACAAAAGAAATCACAACAACAATAACAATATAAATGATGATAATAGCAACAATGATAATGACAATAATAATGCTAAGAATAATAATGATAAGAGAATATAATGCCATTAATGATAATAAAATAATATCAGTATAATAATAATGTCATTAATGAATAATAATATAATATCAATAAAATGATAATAGTAATGATAATAATAATAATAAATAAATAATAATAAAATAATAATAATAATAATAATAATAATAATAATAATAATAATGATAGTAATAATAATAATAGAAATAATAATAACAGCATTAATGATAATGATAATGGTAAAAATAATAATAACAGTGATACTGATGATGATGATGATGATGGTGATAATGATAATAATAATAATATTCTTCCTATAGATCTGTTACTGATCATAACCTTGACACACTTCCCCATCCCACCAGAGAACGAGTTTATGGTAGTGCGGCGTAGGTAGTGGTGCATAAACGTTTAAACTGTTAGTCTGATGAAGTTTGTTTCTATCTTATACGTTGAACTTATATTTCACAGTCTAAGATACAAACCTTAAAAACGTCAAAACCTCATTAACTCACCCAAAACCAGCTTAAAAATAACGAAATAGCCACACCTTCCGCTCCCTGTGCCACATCATCAACTTCAAAATTCCCACCATATGATAAGCAGCCAATCAGCTGTTGCCTCCCTTTCCCGTCGCGCGGACGAGCCAATCAGCGGCTTTGTTTTGGGTCCGTCCTTTGAGCCTAATGGAGGTGCAGGCGGAGACAGAATGAACTTACTCTGAGGGAAAAAAGGAATTATTACTCGCCATGGGACTCATCATCTCGAGATTTAGGGTAAGGATGACGTCGGAGAACGCACGCTGGCCGGGGGAAAGTGTGACGGGGAAGTGAGCGGCCTGAAACAACGGCTGAAATCACGACATCTGGGGGACGGGAAAAATGTTTTCCCACGTAACATTATATCCCTTCGAGGTTACCTGTTTTCCTGCCAGGACCAACCTTCCCTGGGCGAAGTTTACCCCTTTCCAGCCTTTCCCAGCCTTTCCCTTCTTGGTTTCTCTCATCTTCCTTCGGGTAGGGTCTGTGCGAGAGGGAACGGGTTAGGTCAGGGGTCAGAGGGTGTATTCAGGGTTGAGATAAGCCAATATATCCTCCTTTTAGGATTATTCATAAATGAAGGTATTTGTGATAGGTGTTAAAAGTTTCTTTTATGATTAGTAGAGTTCTCATTAATGTACATTACTGGTTGTCAAGGAGAAAGTGAATACCTTTCTCATTCAAACATGAACTGCAAAAGTGAATGGAATTGTGCTGTGAATATTAGCTTTTTATGTTATTTGCACTTTTATTAATGAAGATATTGATATACTTTTAAAAAGATACTTTGCCTAATCTAATCAACTTTAGCATCTGAGATATATATTGGACAACAGAAATAAGTTGCTTAGATTTTTAAATTTTTTTGAATACCCCATAATCTGTCAAAGACCCGAGGATAAAATCTGGTAAAATAAGTAACCTTTCCAGTGTCTGGCAGTGCCGTTGTCCTACATTTCTCATTTTGATGCCTAGTAAATC